ATTTCTCCCATGGGGCTCGGACACCACCACAAGCATCTCGGTGCCCGATCCTCATCGTACGGTGAGCCCCACCTAAATTTTTTTTTTAAAAAAAATTGAAATCCTGACCGTAGATCATGTTTGAATCGGACAACGCATGCGGTGTACGTATGCAATAATTCCTCATAATAAATAACGCTCTCAAAAGCCCTAAAATAAACAAATCCAAAAATGAAGCAACCGTCCAGCTAAACGTGAGAGAAAACAGGGGTTTCCTCCATCTCCACCTTCATTTCCTCCATCAAATCCTCTCCTCCCCACATTTCTATCCTCAAAACAAAAGAAACTCGCTGTACCAAATTCCATTCTTCTACCTTTCTTCCTTCCTTTAATCTCCAACCCCCTCCCCCTCCCCCTCCCCCCCCATATATATATATATATATAATAGATGTGAATTTAGTGGTATTTGTAGATATTGTGGTGATATTGAAGTGATATCTATATATATTTATTTATATACTGCCACAATACAATGAGATATCATCACCTAATTATATTCACTCCATATATACACACACACGCCAAAACAAATTTTCATGGATAAAAATCATCAACAATGTCCTGATCATAAGCTTGTTCAACATATAAACTACTCTACATGCTCTTTTTATATATTTAATCTGTGTATGTTATTGCAAAGGCGAATTCGGCTTCAGGATTGGCAGTAAATGACGAGTGCAAGCTGAGGTTTTTGGAGCTAAAAACGAAGCGCAATTACAGATTTATCGTGTTCAAGATCGATGAGAAGGCGATGCAGATAAAGGTGGATAGGCTCGGCCAGCCTGAGGAGAGCTACAATGACTTCACCGGATCTCTTCCTGCGGATGAATGTCGCTATGCTGTTTATGATTTCGATTTTGTCACCGACGAGAACTGTCAGAAAAGCAAGATCTTCTTCATTGCCTGGTGAGATTTGCTTTACGCCTACTTGTTTTTAAATATCATTTCCTGAAGATTTGATTTAGTCTAAATGATATTAAATTGGTGTCTCCTTCTCCATATCCCGGGCCAAGCAACGATTTACTCCCTGATGTGGACGAAGATGTCTTCCGGCAAAAAGCCATTTATGAGATGGATCTCACATTTTAAAAGCAAAACCAGAACATTTACAAAGTAAAGCAATCCATAAGTGGGTTTTGCCGGGGAAGTTTTCAATTGAGTGAATGTCAGTAGATTTCCATTATGGATATTTATCCAATTCAAGGTTTTTTTTTTAATATGTTTTAGGTTTATTAATTTTTCTTCATTATAATAGATTTAGAATTGATGTTTATTAATCTCTTAGATTTTTTTTTTAATGTAGAAGTTGAATATCTCATCATCAATGACACAAATACCGTCGAGTGTCGTCCAATGAGAGCCATATAAAATTATGTAAGAAATATGAGTGTTATTATAATCTCTTATATTAAAAAAATTATAAGTAATAGTGTTAAAAAGCACATAAGGTTTTTCAAATTCAACCGGTAATATTGACATTAGCAACCACTACTTTATACCATTGTTTATTCCAAAGTTACTTTTAAATGAGCTTTTCGAATGAAGAAGCTCTCCTAAACAAAACCTTTTATCTCATCAAGTGGGATTGGCTATATGAATTGTTTTTTCTCTATTGTATCTTATTGAGTGTCATATTTTCATTTAATTCTAATAAAGTCTGATCATTTTTATATAACATGACAAAGACTTCTTAGATCCACCTCTACCTTTCTTAGTATAAGTCAAATCTACAACATCTGCTCTCTTAATATGGTCATCGGATGGTCAACTTTTAATGTGATCAAATCATCTTAGACGACTCTATCTAATCTTTTCTACCAACTGGAGCTACTCCAACCCTTTCATGGATTTATTTGTTTTGCATTTTGTCTCTAAGTGTAAAGCCACTCATCTACCTAAGCACACTCATATTAACGACACTTAACTTAATTTTATGCTTCTTTTTTATAGGAAAACATTATGTGCCATTAAGCATTGCAGATCTCATCGCTATCTTATAATTTTTTTCTTGAAGTCTAATTATTGGTCCTTATCTAGCACGCAATGGGCTCGATGAATTCCTACACTTCAACCATCCAACTTGAATTCTACTAATAACATCCTTATATATATCACCACCACTTTGAGCAATAGACCCGAGACATTTAAAACTTTCACTTCTTTTAATGACTTGATCAATCATTATTACAACACTGCCACTATGTCAACTACTACTATTATTACATCTCATGTATTCAATTTTAGATCTACTCAAATGAAAGCCAATAGAGTCTAAAATTGACATTCATAATGCTTACACTAAGGTACATCCTTATATATATATATGTAAATGTCTAGCAAGAACATCCATAACTAAAGCAAATAGATATGAGAATAAAGTTGATCCTCTGATGAAATCCAATTGCAATAGGAAGAATCATGGTCAATCCCCGTTGTGTTTGAACACAGGTAACAACTCTAGTATACATATCTACAATGACTTGAATATATGTGATATTAACACCTTATCATAAGCTTTTTCTAAATCAATAAAAAACATATGCATATCCTTATTAATCTCTCTGTATTGCTTCTTTATCAAACCTCTCAAGCAATATATAACTTTCATTGTAAACTTGTCTGACATGAATCCAAACTAATTTTGAGAAAGTTTTGTATCATGTTATAACCTTCATTCAATTACTCTCTCCCAAATTTTTAATGTGTGACATATTAACTTAATTCCTCTATAATTTGCAAACTATAGTGCATTCTCTTTATTTTTAAAATTAGGAACCAATAAAATCTTTTTCACCCATCATACACCCCCTTTAAGTTTTTAAAACAATATTAAGAAGTTTACCCAAAAATTTCTAGATATTCTAAACATTTTCAGACTTCTATTCGAATGTCATCAGATCATACTAGTTTTCCATACATTTTCTTATGGCTTACTCAACATCTATTTTATTAATATAATGATAGAATTTAAAAACTTTGTTATTATTTATGATATTAAGATCATTAAAGTCAATTGTATTTATTTTCACAATCTTCATTGAAAAGTCTATCAAAATATCACACTCACTTATGTCAAATATCCTCACCTAAGAAAGCACTTTTTAACTTTCATCATTAATACACATAACTTAAACTAAACTTTACTTTTCTTATCTTTTTGCTTAGCTTGTGTGTGTGTATCACCCTCTTTAGTATCTAATATATTATAAGAATCACAAAAAGTAAATTTCATAGTTTACAAATTGTTCTCTTTGATTTTGTATGTCTCAAATTATATTTTTCCTAATCCTCCAAGATCTTATATCTAAAATAATTTCTATAACAATTTTTTTTGTCTTTTCTACATATCATTATTTTACCACAAACTATATTTATTCACAATAGTTTTTTCATTTTGATTCTCCAAACATATCTTTTGCGACTTGCTTAATACTACTCATTATTTTATCCCACATAGTATTAACATCTTCATAAACATTTCAAATCTTAAGTTCTTGAAATTTAGTCATAAAAATAATTTTATTTGTATCTTTTAAATGCATTTATCTAATTTTATGACAATATTTCATTATATTTTTCTTCATCCAACTTTTCATCTTAAAATCCAAAACTAATAACCAGTGGTGGGTACTTAATTTTTTACTTGAAACGACCTTACACATTTGACACTCTCGATGATCAATTTTTCTCATAAGAAAATAATCAATCTATATCTAAGTGATGATATGCACATTTTTTTTTAAAATAACGTATTAGCAATAATAAAATCATATGTTAAATCAAAATATAAAATGACTCGTCTTTCTTCATTAGACACTCCAAAATATTATAATTACCATGACTGTTTCAAAAATCTTTTACTAGTCTACCAACATGTCCATTTAAATCTTCTTTAATAAAGATTTTTTTTCAAGAAGTACCATTTGTATTGTCTCTTTTAAATCATTTTAAAATTTTTCTTCTAAACATTTATCCAACCTTTCTTCTGAACATACATGCAAACTTACTTGGGGAGCATGGGCACTTAAAATATTAAGAATCTTAATATCAATGATAATATTTTAGAGCTATAATTATATCTCCAATTCTATTAATTTTTATAATATTATTTTTCAAACTCTTATCAATAATTACATCTACAACATTTCTAGTATGCCTCTCACTTGAATAATAAAATTTAAATCTAAACTATAAACTATCAATCTCCTTATAATTTTCTCCAACCATTTAGCTTCTTGAATGCATAAGATAATTATCTTCTAATTTTATTAATTTAATTGTGAGAGTACTTTTATTCCAAGTTCCTATTCTAATAGTAGTTTCATGGATTATCTTGTTTACCCATATCTGTCCATTATATAAAAGACCCCTCTTGTTTAACACTACACTTAGCCCGGGCACTGGTGCAACAACCCTTGCATACTATTCACTGTATTAAGGTCATGCAACACATCACTTCTAAAGGATGCCTAAGCATTAACATAATAATTTAAATAATTCATGTCAAAAATTTTTGATGAAAAATTTTTTGGATGAAATTTTTACACAACCCTTCTACTTTCATATATGGGACTTGGGACTGAACATTGACCTATTATTTTTTTTAAGAAAATAATAAAATGTAGAAGATAGATATTTAAGTATTTAAAAAATAATTTGATGAAAATTATATAAATATTTGTTATTTCCTTTTAAAAAATTATTATTATTTATTTGAAATGTTTATTTTCTACTTGTTTTTATTTAGTTTTTTCAATGTGAAACTTATAGAATAGAATTATAGGTTTTCTACTCCAAGAAAGTAAATGAATTAATATGTTTCATTACTTAGAATATAAATAATGAGGATAGGCTAGCTCTATTAATTTTAACTTTAAAAACCACACTTTAATATTTAGAGAATAAAGTGTTGTAGAACAAATTTTGTTACTCTATGTCTAATTGAGTTTTAGTTGTCTAAACATGAACCCATGAATTAGAATAATCCAATGAGGGTTCTAAAGTATTCATTAGAAAAATAAAAAATGATGATTAATGATTTTTGTAATAGAAAATAAGAGGGAATCATTGTAGAGAATCAATTGTAATCATATGATTAAAATTTGTTGGCATAATTCTAAGGGATGTACAACTAGAATAAATAGTGGCAATGTCTTTGAATTTGTATCAAGAAAAAAAATGTGTAATATAAATAATACTTTCTATAAAATTAGATTTTTTTTTCACTTTTTTTTCCTATCCGTTGCCTCATCCTTAAAAAAAATTCATCCAAAAAAGCTATATTATAATCTAAAGGTTTCTTTCTAAAGAGATATTGAATAGAGGTATCGCCTCTTTGTAATTCATGATGCTGAAAGTGTTTGGCTATGACAAATGAAGCACCAAAATGAAGGCATTCCTTGGAACAAATGATGCTTGGGAGGTTTTGGAGAAATGTGACAATGAGGCACACAATGAGTTTACCTATTCTTCATACAAAAAGATAGTTTAAGGAACTTCTAATATATAAGAAAGAAAGCATTAAACAATTACTCAAGATGAATCTCCAACCAATTAAAAAAGAGACGAAAGCTTCAACATAAATTAAAGCCAAAATGAAAAAAGGACGTAGACAAATACTAGGTAATGATAGCACACAAGGATGGAGTTCTAACCATAAAATAAACTATAAAAGAAGAAAAGATCAATAAGAGGATGTGACAAAAATATTTCAATGTCAATGTATAATAAATCTCAAACTAAGTGTTATAAATGTACTAAGTTTGGGCATCATGCTAAAGAATATGAAGCACCTAATAATAAATTAAATGAAAGAGTTAACCACATAGAAAAAAGAAAGAAGAATATGGTACTATAATGCTAGCATTCAAGGAAAATGAAATCATCAAAGATGGAATATAATTTCTAGATATTGGTGCAAGTAATCATATATGATACAAAGAAATGTGTTCATAGATATTGATAATTCGGTGAGTGGCATTTTGTCATGTAGAGATGACACAGACATAGATCTACAAAGAGAAGGTAATACTCACTACTTTAAGAATAATAAGCATCAATTTATCTCCAACATTTATTTTTTTGCTAAATTTGAAAAATTAATATGTTAAGTTTTGGGAAACTATTAGAACAATTTTTGACATATTAAATTAAAGAATGCTTAAGAGTTGGATATTGACAAAGGAGTGTTGAGCTAAAGTAGTTACATGTGCAACTTATTATCCAATTGATCACCATGCAATAAGAAGGGTAAAGGGAAAGATAATAAAGGAGCATGGAGTACAAAACAATATTACATCTAAGAGTTTTGGAATCATAACCCGTGTGTGTGTGTGTGTGTGTGTGTGTGTAAAAGATTCAAACTAGAAGATAAGATCTAGGGATCATATGATGAAAACTATGATATTTTTCCACACTTAATTTAAGAAGAAATTGAATAGCCAATGAAAGAGTAAGGAAAAAAGAAGCTTACCATCCCATTAATAAACAAGAAACACCTTCTTAAAAAACTCATATCCATCAAATTCAAGTAAGGTTTCAAGTGAATGAGTATTACAGTTCAATAGATTACAAGATCTTTATGAAATAAGTGATAGTCAGAACAATATTACTCTATTTTGCCAGTTGGCCAAAAGTAAACTTATAGATTTTCAAGAAGATATACAAAATAAGAAGTAGAAAAATGATATGGATGATGAAATCAAAGCAATTGGTTCGAATGATACATGATATCTAGCTTCAAGTCTAAATAACATTAGGTAATTGGATTTGTGAGTGCATTGAGTAAAGAAGAAATTAAAGGTGAAGTTGAAATATTCAAAGCAAGATTTGCAGCAAAAAATTACAGTATAAAATTGGCATCTCTCTAATGAGTTATTTACGCATGTTTCTCACATAGATATTATAAACTCACTATTTCTCTTGGAGATCAAAGTAAGCAGTGAATGTATCAAATTGATGTAAAATTTGATTTCCTGAATAAAATCCTAGAAGAAAAATTTAATATTCAACAACCACTAGGTTTCAATGTAATAAGACTAGAAAATGAGGATCTAAAGTAAAGTAAGTCTCTCTACTGATTGAATTAAGTACCAAGGGCATGAACTTGTTGAATAAACAAATAATTGAAAGTGAAATGCTTCACTAAATGTTCTTATAAACACAAATTTTTTAAATGAATATGAATGGAGATATCATGATTATTTGTTTGTATATTGATGACTTGATCTTCACTAGGAGTAATCCAATCATATTTGAAGAGTTTAAACAAGCAATGAAGATTAAGGAGTTTGAGATGACTAATAACGAGCTTAAGGCATACTACTTAGGCAATGAAGTCAACCTAGAAGAAGATGAATTTTTCATCTCACATGAAGGATAAGAAAAAAATATTGAAGACATTTAAGATGGAAAATAGAAGGCCCATAAATTCTCTAATAGACTATGATGAAATAGAAAACCACTCCAACAATTTTCAAGAGGTTAGCTAAGAGTATGCACTACTTGACTTGCATAAAGAATGATATTTTGTATGTTATTGAACTTTTCAGTTACTACATGGAGACTGTGATTATCACACACTTGAAGATTGTTAAGAGAAGTCAGAGACATTACAATTGATTTTGGCTTGCAATATTCATTATCTAATAATTTCAAGCTTATGAAATAAACTGACATTAATTTGTCAAAGATATAGATGGTAAAAAAAGAAATATAGGGTATTTTTCAGTAAGGAATACACTATTTTTTCTTAGATGTCAAAGAAATAACCCATTATCACTTTTTGTCTAGCAAAGCACTGTATGTAGCATCAAACACGCGTATTTGCCATGCAATTTAACTTCTAAACTTGCTGATGGAGTTAAGTTTATCTTAATAAAAAGCAACAAAGATCAAGATTGATAATCAAACATCTAGTAATTTATGATAAAGAAAAGCATATTGATATGCACAATTGCTATATCAAAGTATTTATCACATAGATTAAAGTGCAAGTCAACTATATAAAGTCTCAATATCAACATGTAGCTATTTTCATTAAGCCATTCAAAAGTGAAGTTTTAATTAAGTTATAAAGATTATTTGGAATTACTATATCAAGCTTTATAACAAAATTGCATATTGTTATAAAGTTTTTATTAAGTTATAAAGATTATTTGAAAATTTTACTTGTAGATATTTGATCCATATATTGTTGGGCTTTAGTTGTCAAAATATGAGCCCACAATCTTGAATAACTATATGAGGATTCTAAGAATATATTTTAGAGGAGTTTTTTTTATAACAATCTCGAACAGTAATTAATGAATTTTGTAATAGAATATATGAGATATTTCTAGAGATCATTTATATCCATAAGATAAAAAATGTATTGGCATAATCTTAATTGGGGTGACACTAATATAAATTTTATTGATGTCTCTGTGTTTGTATTAAACAAACAACAAAAAATAAGAAATAACTAGTTCCATTAAATTAGAGATTCTCTTTATATTCTTAACCTTAATCTTATCCTAAAAGCTTTATCAATCCCTAATTCATTTTATTTCTAAGGAGAAAATCAGATCCCTAATAATGTTATACATAAATAATTTTTTTGGTGTATGTCCATCACCCCATTATGCTTTGCAAGTATTACTTTAAAATGGTTAATGTATGACACTCTAAGTTTTTAATAAAGTTAAAAGTATTAAAAGTATACATATGAAGAAAATAATATTAATTAAATAATATCTTATCATATATATAAAAGCAGCCAAACATTGGATGTATTTAATGCCTTTTGGAATCCACAACATATATGCATGCCTAAATTTATCAAAACACTAACATTAATTGTATTTTGCAGCCATGGTATAGTTATCAAAGTAATAGCAAATTTATATTAAAATGTTCCATAACAAACTCTATGAACAATAGAAGTAGATATCATAAATCAACTATAAAATCTATTTATGTTGCATCTCTAACCTTGGCCTTCTAACGATGATCAGGTCATACTCCCAATTCAACCACTTCTTTAGTAGCTACCTTCATGCATCTTCCACTACCTCCACTCAACCCATGTCATATCTATCACTTTCATCTTTGATCTCTTATAATTACTTATCACTTGACCTTGTGCCACCTCCATTGTACTAAGCTTATTTTTTTAAAATGGTTGTGAGGCCATTGCCTCTACATTTCACTTTCTAAACTGTGGTTTCTCTTTCTCCTTAACATCTTTTAGCTTCTTCATTGGAGTTTAATATTGATCCTTTACCACCACCATCTTTTAACTCCAACTCTCAATTTGATCGTTAACCCCACTAACTCTCTCTGTTATTAGTTCATCGATTGGTCTTCACTAAAGTCTCCTATACTCTTTGGACCTATCATTTACTAGCATTGGCATTCTCCCCTATTAACCTTATCATGATCATCCCTAGGTAATTCTCTCCTTCTTAGACAACTGAAGTCTAGATTGTTAGACTTGAAGTTAATCCATCGACCTCTCTTCTTTGGACGCCACTCATGGATCTTTAGTTGCAATTATTTTTTAGAGTTAAGTCATATGCTATTATAGTTGGTGTGTGATATTTATTCACATTTTCTTAGTTTGATTATAAAGCACCTAGTTCCCTCTTTTTTTTAAGTATAACATTCATTCTTTTTCATTATCTTCTCACGCATGAGATTTTAACCACATTGGTCTTCTTTGATAGTGATATTTCTAGTTTAATCATTACATATCATTGTTCATTGGTAAGTAAGATAAATTTGATAGACCTCATTCGTAATCCATCTGACAACTTTAGTCTCATTGCTTAATACCAAGAAGATTCTCTTGAAGTTTGATCATATTAAAGATTGAATTATTTTTTTTTTTTTTGCATCAGATGACAAGGATTAATGATTTATTCATGATTTTAATAGTCTCGTAATGTTTTACTAAGTTAATGAATGCTCTATTGCACCATTTTAGAATTGATTTTCAAGCCTCATTTCCTTAACAAAGAGTTCTATTTATTTTGGCTTATTTATTTGGTAAATCTTTTTGAACCAACCCTCCTACTTCTACATGTACTATTCAATGTATTGCTAGGGTGCTTGCTGAGAAAAGTTTTAGATTCTTTTGGGACCCGTTCACAATTACGTGATTACTGACAAAAAGAGTTATGATAGAATAAAACCTTAGATTTGTTCTCACTTCGAACTCATCAGGCATGATTTGTATATTTATAAACGAGTATAAAATTTAAGTTCTATTATCATCAACACTCTTGACATTCCAACTATAACTATTTCTAGTACCAATCTTATGTGTTCATCATTAGGGGTGTAAACGATACGAACACGAGCGAGCCCAGACTCAGCTCGTGTTCGGCTCGTTTATGTTTTGAGCTCAAAAAGTGTGTTCGTGTTCGGCTTGTTTGCTTAGCGAGCCGAACATGAGTCATTCATGAACAAAGAGTCGTTTTGACAACCCTAATCAGGTAGCCATATGATTTTAAGGATTGGAGCAAGATTTAAAAATTATTTTTTATATTAAACCATCACTTGAATCTAATTTAATAATTTTTATTATATTTTCTTAATTTATACTTTTAATTGATTATAAATCTTTATATTACATTGATCATCTAGTCATCCTCTAGATATGTTGTCGACCAATTACTTATCGATAGGGTGAACTCTCTTCAAGACTAGGATACTTCCATCCTTCTCATAATTTTCATTTTCATTAATATAAACAAACTCAATGTAATAGTATGATTCTTAATATATATATATACTCATCAAAGATATATATATATAACTTTTAACAAGGACTTATCAACGTTTTTATTTTACTTTTCCTCTCATTCTATCATGCAGGTCTCCGGACACCTCAAAAGTGAGGAGCAAGATGTTATATGCTAGCTCTAAAGATCGATTCAAGAGAGAGCTTGACGGGATTCAAGTGGAGTTGCAAGCAACAGATCCCAGCGAGATTAGCCTGGACATTGTAAAAGGCCGAGCCTTCTAAATGAAAGAACTGCTGGACTTTCAATGATTTTTTTTGAGCTATTTTTATGCGATTAGGAATGTTCGATTCATGGCAACAATCTCTACCAACTTTTTATGTTTTATGTATTCTTCTTTTATAATTTCGGCGACAAATGATACGATTTCGTTTTACAGAACGGGCTATGTAAACATTTTATTTCAGCTTATGCTTTTGTTGAGTGATCGAAAAGTAGATTGCCAGACTTGTATGTCAAGTCTCCTGCTTGTGGGATACTCGTTGAATTATGTTTTTGCTTAAAAATTTGAAGAAGATTTTAGGAATATAGTTGTTGAGTTACTGGCTTATGTAATGTGAAATTTAGATTTTGTGGCAGCCTTTTATATTGCTTTACATACACCCAATTCCTATGCATTTCCATATGTAACACCTAATGTTTACTTTTTGCATCTATACCTCCCAAATCTTTCATATCACATTTACTTTTTAAAAGTGAAATGCACTGTTTCATGCATAAGTAAGATGGTGTGTTTGTGTAAAAAATTGAGGTTTTAGTGTTAATTACTATGTTTCTAAATCTTCCTATTTTCTTAAGCTTAAAACCTATATTTCATTTTTATAAAAGATGGAGATCTTACTCTCAGAAAAAAAAAAGAAGAAAAAATATAATCATTAGTACCAAAGGACCAGAAATGCTTAATAAACTAATTAATCGTATTATGTCTCCAATTCTAATAATTTACTGTTGTCTCTCTGTCTCTCTATGAAGTTAACCAAAGTTCTAGTAATTTGAGCTCTTTTAGAAAATGCTTTATTTTGCTGCTACTCCCACTAGTTGATTATGATTCATTTAATTAGATTGTAGAATCTAGGTGTCCCTCATCTTTGGATATGGTATTCTCATAGATGAATATTTGGTATTTTTGAGTTCTTGAGATGTTGACTATAAGATTCATGATATCTTGGGGGCAATCATTCAACAATCAGATGTTTTGGTTCTCCTAATAAAGGGGTTGAGTGGAAAGGGGGAATAATTTCCAATGAAAATTTGCCATCAGACATTATCTATTCAATTGGGATTGTTTCATAATTGGGCACTAGAGGCTAATAAAGAGAGTTGAATAGATATCTTTGGTCAACAACAACATTTTGAATACAATGGTTTACTAAACCAAAGATTGGATCCTTGAAGGTGGAGGTCAATATGGAGAAAAAGAAAAAGAAAACGGCATAGAAGCAACCATGTTAGTAGGAATAGCCATTAGTGATACAGGTTTGAATGTGTTAGATGCTTAGTATTTGTGTCATTTAAATTCTTTTAAATGTGACTTTATATAAGAATGCAAATAGATCCCTAATGCCTAAATAAGTAATGGTGAGTACTAAAAATACTTGGCATCCTCTTTATTGTTTTTTTAATAATAATCAAAATTCTTAGAAGCACTTCAAATAAATTTAGAGGTATATTATGTGACATAATCAATTTCAACCAATACTTGAACAATAAATAATTTGGATAGAGGGATGGTAAGAACACCCATTGATAAGCATTTACCAAATATATGTGATAAAATAAAGAAAATAATATTAATTAAATAAATAAACTCTAAGGTTTAGAAATGATATTCAAATAAGAACAACTGAAAATTCATATAAAGGTAAAAAACTCAAAAAGTGGTCAAGCAATGCATAGTGTAGATAGAGCGATAACAAAAAAAATTTTGCATATATACTTGCCAAGTAGGAAAGCCAAATGAAAATAAGAAACTCAAATTAATTAAATAGATGGACTTTGAGAAGTAGAAATGATATTCAAATAAGAATAATTACTATTCATAACAATAGCTATATTCATAGAACCATATCCTAATCCTCATGAATAATCTCTCAATACTCAAGAACTTTGATTAAAAAAACAAAATATTCTTCAACACATGAAACTATTAACAAAGTATTTCTTAGGATTTAGTAAAAAAATTAATATCTAACCAGAGAACAATGTACTTTCAATTATTACTCTATACTCATCAAAGAACTTATAAATAAAAGAAAACTGAAAGAAAGTTATCAATGTGTTTAGTTCCTTATCAAAATTAATAAAATTCTTACAAGTATAAAGAAGAAATAGTTGAAAGAAGAAATAGTTGAAAGTCATTCAAGAAAAAAATTATTGGGTTTGCTACTTGCAATTAAAGGTAATTTGGTTGATAGTAACATGCTTGTATATACAAATAATAATAGTTTATGGGATGGGGAATGGGAAAACATAAGGAGATAAAATCAAAACAAATTGATAATGACAAAGAACTTAATTTTAAGAGGATAGAGATAGATAGAGAGGATAACATATAAGGCGCAAGGATAAATTTGAGGAGGGGATTCATTTTTTAAGTAGCTTCATGATACATGGTTGAAAGAGGAAGCATGATGAGATCTTAAAGTAAAATAGGGATAAATAATTAGAGCTGGCCAAGGAAATAAGTTTTAAGATTTTGATTGATATTATTAATAAACTAAGTCTCAAATAGGAACCCTTCATGAGGAACAAAAATACAAGGGATGCTAGTACCAAGGAGGACTTTGCTAAGGGGCGTTGGAGCATAATGGATTACCTTGACACTTACTAGAGGGATATCAATGCGAGGAAGGTAGAGTGATGTGGAAAACAGATCTATATTAAAAAATAAAAACAAAAGATGAATAATAATAAAAAAAAACTCAATGAAGCTACAACCAGAATGTGGCAACTTGTTGGTGCCCTCTTCAAGCAGAGCTATGACCCAGTTGAAAAATCATGGCCTGTAAGAAAGTCATTGTTAATACATAAATAATCTCTTTACCTTAGTCACAAACATGATGGGAAAGAGCAATTGTATGCAATTAATTTTCTTTTTTGTTCCTACTTTACAAAATTTCATGGAATCCTTGAAAACTTTTTACTTATGGAACATGCAATAAAACAACAACAACAAAAAGCCTTTATCACACTAAGTGGAGTCAGCTACATAAATCTTTTCTTCTCTATTTTTTCCTATTAAGTGTCATATTTTCATTTAATTCTAATAAATTAATATCAATTTTATGCAATAATCCTAATTTTATTAAGGTCTACCTCTAGCTTTCTTAACGTTAGTTAAATATAAAATATCTACTCTACTAATAAGGTCATTAGTTGGTCGATATTTAATGTGATCAAATCATCTAAGGCAACTCTCTCTAATTTTGTTTAACACTTGAGCTACTCCAACCATTTCACGAATAAATTTGCTTCGCCTTTTGTCTCTAAGTTTAAAGCCACTCATCTACCTGTTCATTCTCATCGCAGCAACTTTATACTTAATTTTATGCTTCTCTTTTATAGGACAAGATTCTATGCATAAAACATTGCAGGTCTCGACACCATCTTATGAAGTTTCATTTAAGCCTAAGCTGTACTTTTCTATCACACAATAGGCTAGATGTATTCCCCCACTTCACCCATCTAACTTGATTTCTACTACAACTGCCCCTTCTATAATATATTAGTTTATTTTCATATTGTGAAAAATATATATTTTCTAAAAAAATGTTACAATTATTTTTTATAATTTCTATAGTGGAGGAATATTTTAGATATTTTTTATGTACAATCTTTAATGTTGAGTGGTTCTTTATGAGGATTAAGAAATGCTCAAAATTTGTTAACCCCTTTAAATAATGCCTAATTGCTTATATTTGAATGTCATATCTACAACTAAGAATGTTTGAAAAATATCTTATTTTTTCTCTTAATACTTATTTGATAAACCTTTGTATAGCTTTATCTAGATTAGTTAAAATAATTATGAATACTATAAAATAATGGCAATAAAAAAGTTTCTAAGACTATGAACTTATTATCACTTTTTTGTGCAGGTGGACTTCTTATGTAGATGTGAAAACGAACAGCTTAAAAGCAATTGCAATGTTATAGATACCTAGACACTAGGACATTTATTCCATGTAAAGAATCAAATCATTTATATATCACCTTTTTTTTTCTAGCCCTAGTGTGCAATGACTCGGGGTATGTTGTGAGATATATACTTTCTGACATAGAAATGAGAAGCAAAGAGCACAAGCAAACACAGATCGTTTACGTGGTTCGATCCAACTGGATCTACGTCCACGGGAGGGAATCAATCAAATAGTTCACTAAGGCAAAAGAAATGGAGAATACATAGCTTATACATAGAGATGAGCTCGCAAAAGCTAGAGAACATGTTGTTTTATTAGAAGGAGTTGTATTTCAGGTTGAAGAAAGCACCAAAGTTTCACAGGCATATGCTGAAGCTCGATTAAAAGATGTCGCTGAAAAAGCATTGAAAGAAAAAGAAGAAAAAGAAGATCTGTTAACATTTGTGACTGCTTTACAATCTCAAGTTCAAAGGCAACAAAGTTCTACAAAACAAGAGTTGAAAGAAAAACCCGAGTCAAGCTCAGGCTTCATCAAAATGGTGCCAATGACAAAACATGCGGACTTGGAAGACAATGTCGATAAATCTTGCTTAAGTGATTCAAAACTCATTCGGGTTTTTGGTGACAACATGCAATTGACTACCAATGGTGTCAATATTCGTACCATTTTCATTTCTCATAACCCTGTGTTTCATGGGAACACTAAGCATTTCAACATCAAGTTATTTTTTCTAAGAGAAGTGCAGAAAAAAGAATTTCTGACTCTGATTTTCTACAAATCTGAAGATAAGTTGGCAGATTTGTTTACAAAGTCACTTCCAATCAATAAGTTTGAGCTTCTAAGGCAGAAATTTGGTGTTCGCAGCTCCTAAAGCAAGGAGGAGTGTTGTAATACATGCTTAGGACTGCTTATTAAGTCTAGGTTTATTTGAATTTAGTTTGTTCCTTAATCTTAGGAGTTAGTTGCTATTTTTTCTTGAATTTTGTTTCTTGTTTCTTTCTTGGCTGATTTTTAGGTTTTTCTTCGAAGTTTGTTATTAGCTCCAAGTTTAAAATATTGTAAGGCTACACAAAATGTGTAGTTTTAATTTTCCCTTCAATCTACAACAAATCTTTTAAGTTATCTCTTCTTTCTCATTTCAAGAAACCAACATGTACATCAAGAGCTACACAAAAATAACTTTGTTCTAAGGTACTATCAAAAACTCAGTTAATGATCAAATAAGATCAGCCTAGATCCTTCAAGTATACATAGAAATGTGCTATTTTGAAGAATATCACAACTCAAGAAATTACAACCCTTAAAGACATCCCATATCTGGCCGATATTTGTACGATACCTTATTCTCATCCATCATTCAGAAAGTAATGGAGATCCTTCGGTAAAACACCATTGAAATACAATGTTTGGCGGCATCTGTCCCATTTCCTTTTAGCACTAAGGCCGATCATACGAGTAGGGAATCTCCAAGGGTTCTCTGAACTCGTCGGGATATTAGATATGTAATTTTTTTCTAAACATTATGTTGCATTTATTGAGAAAAAACACCATACATAAGTATCTCAAGAAGACGATATGATCTATGTGAGGCGTGATACAATACTTTTCTTCATATATATTAATTATGCAACCGTTTGACATGTAATCATCAGGCAACACATGCCAAGAGACCTTTCTTTTTATTTTTTTCTTAATTAGTGGAGGTGTCAGATCCACTTCATCATGTTAGATAATCCCTGGTAGATTATCTTCTTGTCAACAACAAAATTGTGGCATCAACCACGTTAGTTCGTAATCCTCCCCTTACCTTTCATCCACTTTATTGGCTTTTAGTATTTCCCTTTTCTTAGAAAGCCAGCTCTGTTTCTGTTTCTCATCTGGAATATGGAGTAAATTATCTTATCCTGCTCTTGATCAGACCACAGCCTCTGATAATATTATGATTTAGCTTCCATATCCATATTCTAAGAGAAATTATTCTCCTCTCCCCGACTTCTCTTCTCCTCCTCTGTTTTTTCACTTTTCTTCCCTCCCAGGTTTGTCTGGAGCTGAGTAGTCTTGAAGATTTAAATGTTAGCTATATAGGCTAAGTATGCAATGAGAATTTTACAGATGTACAATGACTCAGAGCAACATATTTTTATCTATCCCAAGTTAAGAATCAAATCATTTATATATCACCTTTTTTTATAGCCCAAGCGTGCAAAGAATCAAACCAACTATGCATCTAAAGCTTTTTATAAAAGTCAACTTTTATTTTTCTGAATTTTATTCATCCATCAACTATGCATACACTGAATGAAACAATCATATCTGAACAAGTATAAAACAGTAGAATATTTATACATATGCATTCCTTATTTACAACAAATTTATTCTATATATCTATCACGAAATATGTTTGCTAATGCAGCTTGAATCTCAGGGTGAAGGGTTGACTGTCCCTTCCTTAATCCACTTGGCATTTTCATAGAAGCTGTTAGCGGATTTACCAGAACTCATAACCAAGTTGATATCCTGTAATATTATTCCGCTGCATGGAAAGCTTTTGCTGCAGCTGAAATTTATTGCCAGATTTGATTCACTTGTTCCCTTGATGTTGCTGTACTGTACATTGCTCACCTGCACTGCAGATTTCTGCGTGTAATAATTAAACCGTTATTGAAATCTTGCTTGAGACGTGTCAAATTTTTCTTCCAAACAAAAACTAATTTTTAACTCATGATTAGTTTGTCTACAGAAAAATGATTAAATAAGTTTCTCTAACGGAAACTGAGAATTTAAGGGTCCGTTTGGGGCAGTTTATAAGTGCGGTCGGCGTTTTCAAAACGTCGCTGTACCGTTTGGTTCGCGCTTTTCGCCAGCTTATCCAAAACTGTGTTTGGAGCGGCGGGTCGACCCCTGCGGCCGGCCTGCGGGCCGCGTATTTTTACACTAAACGCAACCGGCGGGCCGCGTTTCAGGACATGCTGCCCCAAACGGACCCTAAGTGTATATTTTCGCTTGTGAGTGCTTATTGATTTACCTGTTGAGCGCAAGGCTTGGTGGAGTCGCAGTAGTTTTGATCTATGATAATTGGATTTCGGACATTCTTCATTATAATGTTTTTGAATATTATGTTTTTGGCATAGCCACTCCCCCCCTGCAAAATAGCCATTGTTGAATTAAACCCCAAGGAAATGAGAAACTATTAATGTGCATGAGTTAGGAGGAAATATTGCGTATGATATTCATATGTGCAGATTGGTGGAATTGTGGTGAACACCAGCAAATTTGCACGTATCTGCACCTTCTCTATCCGCACGTAATATTTTAAGATAAGTTAGAGGTAAACGTAAAAATCAAAAATATATAACTTCATATGTATGTGCTTATATGTATATTAAGTTTATTATTCTTCATATAAAATTGTAATTCGCTATTAACATTTCCTACCTTTAATTAAATGTAAGTTTAGGATCAATCATTGATATTGATCTAGGCCTAAAAGTGTTAGGTGATCTAATTTGATCAATTTTTTTATGGAATATTAATTTGATTGCTAATCTTGTAGCACTGTTGCAAAAATATTAGTGCTCATTCCATGATATCTTCAAAATCAAAACTTTGAAACTATAATTTTTTAATATAAGATCATATATAATTGATGAAGTACTAACATTTCATATGATTAATGGATGTTATAGTGTTAATTGAACATGATAATATTCTTTTTTTCATGAAATTCCATGACAATACGTCTCCTACTATTTGCCATGATGTTGATTAAGATTAATTATTTTCACTTGAGATGTTGCATGATTGAAAATAAGCCAAAATAAAAGTATATTACAAATATATCTATCTATTTAAATGATAATATATATATATATATAGATCAGGAGAATGAATAATATTGTTAATTGATTTAATTAATTACCTGCCATGTCTTAATACGAACACCATTTGAAGTACCAGTCAATTGTGCAGTGTCCACCGTAACATCTGAGACCAAGTCATTGGACCCGTTTGCTCCAAGGCTTCCAATACTGGTTAAGATATCAAATTTAGGAATGTCAATATATATTAATTACTATCATTAATCAAAAGTTAACGTTGTAGATAGAACTCTGAAGTGATTTTATATGTGCACCTGATTCCATGACCAGGACCACAAATTATGTTAGTAGCGTTCACATACTGAGATCCACTCACTACTGAGATACAATCATCTCCTGCAAATTACAAATAATATTTCATAAATTAATTCACATTTACGAATAGCTTCTGTATCATTTAGATTTATGATGATATGAATACATTATATTCAAATTTGTATAAATATATATATAGTTGTAAATAGTATTAAACATACCAGTAGCAATGGTGCAACGATTGAGAGTAATATTTTGTGTTCCTGCGATATGGATTCCATCCGTGTTTGGGCTATAGCTGGGTGCAGTTATGGTCAGACTTGAAGCCATGACATTTTTGCAGTTCTCAAACTCAATGTGTATCTGTTGGCTATTTATCACATTCAAGTTCTCTACTCTCAACTCATTGCATGCGTTGAAAGTTAAAGCCTACATTCCAAAACAAATATAAAATAAATATACCTATTTATTTACATATCAAGACTATAGTTAACTCTGATTAATTAAATGTAGTAATTACATACCGTAGGTGCATCTTTGCATGGCTGAAGGGAAGTTTTGTTGCAAAACAACAAAAGAGGAAATAAATGAATGAAAGTATAATTAAATGCATAAAAATGTGGAATCAATTGTTATGATTAAATTAAAAAAAAAAGCTTACTTGTGATTTATCTATTTTGCATGATTTTTGCCACCAAACCTTTCCATTGCCATTGATGGTTCCACCTCCTAGAATAACTAGATTGTTTACATTGTTGAAGAGAATCCATGTCCTTTGGTTTTTCCCATTCCAATCAGATGGATTTGAAGAAGCTTCAATTGTCCCCATGATCTGAAAATTTTATTTATACTCATGAAAAATATATAATGGATAGACCTTATAAATCTTAAAAATAATTTGATTTATGATGAAGATTAGGTCTCACCTTTACTGAAATATGTGATTTGCAGGGACCAGAAAATGTGATAGGCTTTAATAAGTACATGTTACCCTTGGGTATCATAAGTGTGATTGGGCTGTTAGAGGAGCAAGCTGCATTCCATGCCTTTTCAAATGCCTGGCAAAATAACATATTAGTAATTTCAGCATTAAACTATGTTTTCTTATTGAATTATTTTTTAAAAACTCATTATTAAAAAATATTTTAATAAATCTTTCAATTATATAAATATAACAAATTTAAGGAAATTTATATGCATACCATACAATTATCATGCATCTACATATCTAACATCTAAACTTGTATATTTACATTTATAACATTGATGTCTAAGCCTTAGTTTACTTTTAAAAAGTAAATAATTGTAATATTTTTATATGATATTAATGGCTATGCATATAAGTATGATGAATTTTAAGTTTTAAATTTGTAGATACATAAGAACTATGTGGTATGTATATAAATGCCCTTAAATTTAAAGATATGTCTAGATGAAAAAAAAATGACAAATTTACCCTTACCATGGTATCATCAACTCCACCACCTTTTGCTCCATTAAGGAAATTTATATACATACCATACAATTATCATGTATCTACATATCTAACATCTAAACTTGTATATTTACATTTATAACATTGATGTCTAAGCCTTACTTTACTTTTAAAAAGTATATAATTGTAATATTTTTGTATGATAGTGATGGCTATGCATATAAGTATGATAAAGTTTTTAAATTTGTAAATACATAAGAACTATGTGGTATGCATATAAATGCCCCTAAATTTAAACATATGTCAAGATGAAGAAAATGACAAATTTACCCTCACCATGGTATCATCAACTCCACCACCTTTTGCTCCATACTCTTCCACACTCACCACCCTCTCGTTGGAACCTTCATAGTTCCTTATTCCATAGAAGCTTCTTTCCATGGCCAATCCCTCAGATTTGTACATCAGTTTACGTTCAACTCCTCTCAGCTCCCCATAATAAGAAGGAAAATCTCTCATGGCAGAGCAGGAGAAGCTTTTAAATGACATAATGAGCAGAGAGAATAAGAGAATCATTTTCTAGCTATGTTAAGAACCAATATGTCGATGAAATAGATATAGATATCACAAACCTTGTTGAGGAGATGCATATATATAGCTTAATTTTTCAACCCATGGATTGTGTGTGTTTGTTTACAATTAAATTCATTTAAATTTCTAAAAAAATGAAAGAAGAGAGGGAGAGATTGAAGCGTGAGAGTTTGTGATGAGCAGTTCTTTTGCCATCACATCAATGTCTGACACGTGATTAAAATGTTTGAATTCTTTCCAAATTAATCAAATATTACTTCATGGGATATTCTAATTGGACACTTAAGTATGTGTAGCCATGCATAATGCATTGAACTGATTGCTTGAGTTGGCAAAAGGTTTATAGAGAATTTTTATTGAATTTCTATACAATTTTTTAAGAAAAAAATATATTTTAAAAGAGATTTTCAGTTTTACACTTTTACTTTTTTTTATGTTTTCTCATGAAAAAAAAATAGATATAAGTTCTACGTAAAATATTGATGTTATTATAGCTGTTGTTGTTGGTTTTGTAGCAGATTTTTTGTTAGCTTTTTCTTTTTTTGATGTTGTCTTTGTATGTGAATGAGACTTCTGTCTTCTCTCTTTTTGGTTTTTAAGTGAGTTGCATTTTGTGTTTCTTTGTTGTATTTTTTTACTTTTCTGTTGAATAAAATTGAGTGTCACCCTCATCTTTTCAAAATAAACCGATGAAATAAAAGAAAAAGAGTTAAAATAATTAAGATAATTATTACTACGTGTTAAAATCTAGATTTATGATAAGTACATTTCTTCTTCTTTTTATCCTTTATATATATATATATATGTGTGCGCGCGCGCCACATAATTAGATCGGTTGGTCGAGCATCTGTTTGTCAGTTATAAGTTCTCTCTGGTCTGAGGTTTCATTCCCCCCGGAAGAGGATGTGGTACTTGAATTGTTAGGCGCATTGGGGTTGGTCGGGGCTCGTATAATAGCCTCAGACCATTCTTTTTTTTAATATATATATATATATATATATATATGCACACAAAAAAAAAATTATTGCGAGAATCTAACATATTCATATGTATCATTCAATCTTATATAATTTATTTTGCCAATATTTTTGTTAATTAAATGTTGTAGGCCCAAATGATCCAATGACTGACTAATTTTATGTAACAATTTTTGTATCTATTTTAAAAATTGCTTTTTTTTTTGGCATTTTAGTCACAGAATTAATTAGAGATTATGAGTATTCCTAGGGTGGTCCATATTAAACATCTAAACACTTTAGTCAAAACAGCCGGCTTGTTGCCCACACCTTGAGCAAATTTCCAATGACATCATAAGAAATTAAGTTCAAGTAATCACCTAAAATTAGTGCTTAGCATAAATATTTACATTTAAATTATGGATCCGTAATGATTTTGGTAATTATTTTGTATAACAAAGTTTGATTCAAAATGAAATTAAAGACCTACTTTCATCATCAAATGGCATGGGCACAAAGCGTGTTCTCCTTTGTTTTCATGGTATTGTTCTCAGGCTCAAGATTTTGTAGGCATGGTGTGAAAGAGTATTTGTGGTTCCAAAGTGGTTTTAATTATCTTTTTTTTTTTGAAAAGGGTGGAAGAGAGAAAGGACTAGAGAGTTGTAGATATTGAGAATTTATGATTAATGATAAAAGAGGTTAGATTTGATAAACACAATACACTCGGTACCTATCATTAATTACAACTTTGTCTTCATAACTAAGTATTTGTGTATGAATACATCATAATGAAGTATATAGATTTAAGATTGGCTTTCAACAATCAGGAGTAGGACTTAGCTTCTGAAGCTCCCTTTTTTTTTACGCCGATGATGCTCATTTTTGTTGGAAGGCCGAAACTAAATCTTGAATCTACCATTCTGATTCATGATGGAAGAAAGAATCAGCTACCTCCCGGGAACCAACCGGATCTTCTTCATTTCGTAAACCCAAAACCAACAGCACTATCCAATGCCTGATTTGTAATAAACATGAGTGCATAGATATTCAGTGATGGCATGAGCTTAATCATAACTACGAGCCCAAAAAGTCGCAACTTACATGTCAAAATAATGCTAACAAAGTTTAACAATAGACCAATAACTCTATTCAAATACATAAAGTCATAGTTGGAAAAATTACTCAAATTTTAGCTCGGATAAAAATAACATAAATATAAAAAAAACATTTATGAGGCAACAACCAACAAATTTTATTAGGCAACTGAAATAATTAGTGAAATAATTTTGCAAACCTAAGACTAACTTAGCCACCCTGGTTCGCTTCTAATTCTGTAAGAAAAGAAATTATTATTTGAAGAATTAGTGTCAAATGATAAAGTATTTGAAAAGTTAAGTTGTGGCTATAAGGAAGATTGAGAATCAGTTGGTACAATTAGCAAAATTCATTAAGCAATAGACCCTAAGAAATGTCACCAAATAGTACTGAAGTGAATCTAAAGAAAAAGGAAAAAGAGCAATGTGAATCCATCAAATTAAGGAGTAGAAAAGAGTTAGAGGTGGTATTTAGGGAGGAGCCTAGTATAGATGAGGTTGAGCCTGAGGGACTTAGTTAGACACTTTCACCCGGTTTAGGAGAAGAAGTCTCGTCTCCTAGGAAAGAGCTTGGGAGATCACCGACAACATTTCCCCAAAGACTTCAAAAATATAAGTTGGACCAACATTTCTCAAAATTTTTAGATATGTTCAAAAAGCTCACAATTAATATCTCATTCACTGAAGCTTTAGAACAAATCTCTAATTAATTTAAGTTCATGAAAGATATTTTTAATAAGAAAAGAAAACTAGGTGATTTTGAAATTGTTGCTCTGACTGAAGAATGTAGTGTTATCCTTTAGAATTCACTATCCCTTGAACTATAGGAGATAAGTTCTTTCGAAAGACTTTGTGTGACTTAGGAACTAGTATTAATCTTATGTCTCTTTTTCATATTTAGAAGATTAAGACCTTGATAAGTGTAACCTACCATCTTCAGTGAGCAGATTGATCTTTGACTTATTCTGTGGGTTATGTATAATGTTTGTGTGAGGTTGATAAATTTATGTTCCCTGTAGATTTCATTGATTTAGATATGAAGGAAGATAAATAAATCCTTACCATTTTTATAAAGCATTTTTAGTCACTAAAATGGTACTGATCGATATTCAGAAAGGGAAACTTATTATGAGAGTAAATGATCAGGAAGTAACTTTTAATATTTAAAATATAAAAAAAAATTTCCCCAAGACCCTAAAGATGATAAATGCTTTAGATTAGATTTGGTGGAAGGGTATGTTAGAAGCCTTTTAATGAAATTTTTAAAATGGATCCAATAAAGCAAAACTTAATTGAGGAAAGTTGTGAAAATCCTATGGAAGAATTACTTTTGCTATTAGATAAGATCCTTATAGTGATTAGGAATAGGTTTTAACCTCTAGAGACATCAACAAATGCTAAAACTATATTACCTTCTATAGTTGAGGTACCACAGTAAGAACCATAATTATTTCTTCTAATTTTAGTGATGTTTGAGAGAAAAGGTTAATAAGAGCCTTGAAGAATTTAAAAAAGTCCTTTGATTGAAGCATAACAAATATAAAAGGAATAAGCCCCTTCTTATGCATGCATAAAATTTTTATGAATGATAATCATGAACCAAAGGAAAAGCCACAAAGAAGGCTTATCCATGTCATGAAAGAAGTAGTGAAAAAATATATTTTTAAATAGCTTGATGCAAACAACATTTATCTTATTTTTTTCAAAGTGCATCAGTAAGCTCAATCCATTGTGTGCTTAATAAAGGAGGAATGATTGTAATAGAAAGAGATAGGAATGAGCATATACCTATTAGATGTGTCACTAGTTCAAGAATTTGTATAGATTATAAGAAATTAAATAAATTTATTATGAAAATCATTTTTCCTTATCTTTTCTTTATCAGATGTTAGATAGATTGGCAAAACATCTTTACTTTTACTTCATAGATGGATATTCATGAAATTATCAAATTGCTATAGCACAAAAACCAGGACATGACCACTATTACAAGTCTTTATGGAACTTTTGTTTCAAGATAATGCCCTTTGGTTAATGCAATACCCCGACTGCTTTTCAAAAATTTAAGATGTCAATTTTTTTATATTATTGAGTAGGAGATTGAAGTGTTCATGGATGTTTTTTTTTTTGTATTTGACATGTCTTTTGACACATGTCTTGAAAATTTAGTAAGTATTTTACAAAGATATGAATAGACTAATCTAAGATTGAATTAGGAAAAATATCAATTCATGGTCACTAAAGAGATTATTTTAGGTCATAAAATTTTTTAAAAAGGGTATGGAGGTGGATCAAGCTAAAACTCCTGTTATAAAAAATTAACTCCACCCATTTTAATTGAAAGGATTATGAGTTTCACAGAGCATGCCAAATTTTATCATAGATATATTAAACATTTCTTCAAAATTGCTAAACTCTTCTATCATTTTTTAGAGAAGCACGTGCCTTTTAACTTCTATGGTTAGTGTATTGTAGATTTTGACCTTTTAAAGCAAAAATTAATCACAATACTTGTTATCATAACATCTGATAATACTCTTTTGAGCTTATGTGTGAAGCTAATAATTATACTTTAGGATTGTGTTAGGATAGAGGATAGAGGTATTTCATATGATATATTATGCTAGAAGAACTCTTAATAATGCACAAGTCACTTACACTATCATTAAAAAAGTGTTACAAGCTAGTATTGGCAAATAAAATTGTATATTCCCATCAAAGAAATATTTCTTTGGTGTGAAAATATGCTCATAGTATTTTATATTATCAATACCATCAAAAATATACTCAATTTAAACCCCAATACTACATCATCTACTGTGAGCTACCTAACTACATCTGTCTTAAATTTTTTAGTTATGTTTGTTTCCCCTCGCGA